TTAGGCAATCCAGCGGGGAGTACGGTCACATTCACACGCGACGCTTATTTCACCACCAATATACTGCTTCTTACAAAAATTTTATTCTAAAAACCCACTGAAAAGCAGCAAGTTGGATGTTTGAAATCTGCTATGGACGATGCGTCTATGCATCAACAAATGAATTGTATTGAAATGAAAATGGCTCAATTTGCGTCACTTTCCCTATAAACCCTGGCACCATATCTTAGATGTGATAAAAAAGTGCAATTCCACTCTGCGCAGGTAAAGTGTATGGTATTTAACCTATTTTTGACAACACAATAAGATATTAAAACGCTGAATATGAACGATTTTTGCTCTATTACTTACTTGATCAAAATACTCCTCAACAATACGATATGCCCATTTTTGGCAAAGTGACCATTCTCTGGTTGGATTTGAAATGTCGGCACATTTTACCAGCATATTACAGATGGTCATCGAATTTCCCTCTCTGGCGTCGTCTGGCACATCTACCACATTCATCTGAGACTTTTGACGTCAGTGGTGAAAGCATTGCAGAGGGGGAAAAAGGCAGCTAACCTTGTTAAATTTAACGAGATACTCGAAATGCCTACTAATGTCCGTTGCAAGCACCATTTCAACCATTGCATGTCGCATCGATGTGAATTCCTCACGCGATAGGTTAGAGAAAATGTTTACCTGAAAAGGTTAATGTTACCAGGTGCTGAGGTACTCTTAAAAAATTAGACCAAAGCTAAGTTACATTGTTACTCTGCTGCAGAGTAAGTTGAAAGGCTAGAGCTACGTGGTGATTCTCGAGCACGGAGTGATCGTTGTAGAGAACGGCTAGCGATTGCCGGGTGTTGATAAGGAAAGCGTTACCTCGACCTATAAGAAAAAACTTTTCTGAAGGGGGATGGTCATTAAAACTCTTGAATAGTAGTCAAAGTATGTATAGTGCTAATGCTGAGGTAATCACAGTAGTTAATGAACTAAAGAAAACTACGATAACCTTAGGAAACCAGCAATATAACTATGAGTACTGTAGTAATTCCGTAGTTTTTAGCACATTTTAACGACTTCAAGTATGATATTACAGTGACTTAAAATACAGTCCTTGACGGCGTTTAGGATAACTGGGAGATTTACTGCATACACTAGAGCTAAATCCAAAGATTTAATTTACAACTAGTAGTAGCTTTATAGTTATCGCATTTTTGAGATAGATAAAGCCTAATACTTATGAACAAATTATTCGCAACAGCTATTTCTCAGATCTTCCTTCCTTTTCTAAAGTTCCTTCCTTCTGCTTATTACCTATTAGCTATAAGAGTAAAAATATCACTGTTCCTGGGAAGATGCAAATCCCTGATATCAGATAAAGGTTCATAGGAATTTACCTGGATGATCAAGGTCGTGAACAGTTGCAGCGAGAATAGCGGCTATGGCATGATTCTCCGAGATATGAGCAGCTACTGCAGGTGAGTCGAGAAAATATGAGGTGGCCTAAAATTCGACTTTAGGACTCTTTGCGAGGAACAGGAACAATATGCTATATCATACCTGTAGCACATCTGCAGCATGCGTAGCATTGTGATAAGCGTTACCGGCATGGTAGTGTGCTTCTATAGTGCAAAGCCATCTATGGAGTATATCCTCATTACAACTAAGCGCATCAGCTACTTTCCATCTCTCGAAAATCTATGAAAGAAGGAAATCCAAGAAAGTAGTAGTGGAATCTACAATTTGCCTTCCATGAGCTAACCTTAACTCCTAAATT